CAAATCGGCATTAATTTTTTCAACACAAACATATGCGGTGTCCTTGCAGTATGAGTAAACACACTTGAGGTCATCGGCATAAGTAAAAGTTTGCGAATTTCCGAGTTCAGTCGAAATATCATTGATGTACAGAAGGAAGAGTAGCGGACCGAGGACCATGCCTTGAAGTACGCCACTCGTGATCGAGTGAGGTGTCGAGTAACTATTACCGACCATGACTTTCTGATATCAGTTGGACAGATAGGACCTGATGAAGTCGAGTAGAGGCGGCCGGATGCCGAGGGCTTCCAATTTTACTAAAAGACGTCTATGGGGCACCTTGTCAAAGGCTTTGCTAAGATCAAAGTAAATAACAACCACTGACTGCCGCTCATTACGAAGAGAAGTGATTAGATTAAGAAAAGCCAAGTGACATGTTTCGCAGGATCGTTCAGGTAAAAATCCATGCTGACTAGAGCTCAGACAGAAGTCAAGAATTTAATTGAAAATAATCCTTTCAAGAAGTTTTGCTAGAGACGGCGTTTTGTGCACGCCCCGATAGGTATTAGCATCGGACCGAGATCCTGACTTGAAGACGGGAATGATAATTGACGTTTTCCATGTTTCAGGAAAGAATCCTTTTGAAATATAAACCGAGAAGAAATGACTAAGCAATATGGGAAGGTCGGACGCTTGTTTAATAATCAAATTCGGAATCCCGTCCGTTCCTGAGCAGTGTGAGTATTTCAAACGGCCTATGTGTTTCTTAATGAGATCTGAGGAGACATCAGTTGTACGAAGTGTCCTATCTGAAATTGATCAAAAGAAAGGGACCAGATCGGACTCGGTAGCAAGGTGTTTTGCAAAAAAAAGCACTAAACAACTCCGCCTTGTCAGTGTCATCGGTGAGGAAGACTTTGTTATCATTTAGCAGGGGTGGAAGTTCGTGACCACGCTTAGAGGAGGACCGATGACGGAAGATGTTAGCGACGGATTTGCCAGGGTTCGAACCACTGAGAGCAATTGATTCTCTTTGCCTGTCGCGCGCTTGGCGCATCCTTGTGGTCATCTCAGAAATCTCTGTGATTCTGAGATGAACTGATAAGGAACTAGTGGATGGGTCACGCAGCTGTCGCCTCAACTTTCTCAGTCTGTTCTAAAGAAAATGAGGAACAAGGGAATCTGAAGAATTAGGCTTGAGATATCTACGCGGCACAAACTCTAGAATGTCCTTGGAAACATTGGACATGACATCACGAAGAATGGTTACATCGCTACAAGTGAGGAAGCCACACCAATCCAAAGATCTAATATAGTTATTTATGAAGTCGTTATCTACGCAGTCGTAGTTCATGTAAGTCCGAAGTACGCTGGTCTTTTTTGAAAAGGCAAGCGGTAAACAACAATGAATTAATACGTGGTCACTGTCAAAGAGGTCCTTTTTTAAAGCAACAGAAAGAGGATCAATGTCATTGGTAACGATTAGATCTAAAATGTGATTATCTCTTG